CTCGGAGCTGGGCTCGGCCGCGGCTCAGCTGCACCCAGCCCGACTCTCCGGGGCAGCGCACAGCATCTAAATGAAGAGGCCGGATGCAGACGGACATTCAGGCAGCTCTCGGGAATGAATAGCCGCCTTTGATTTGGGAGCCGAAGTAAATGCCAGCTCCCAGCCCCAGCTTTAAAAACAGTGGAGTGTTGGTGCCAGAGGAATGCGCGGCTCCGGGTGTTGGTACAAGACAGACTTTTGATGACTCACTGCAATGCAAACAAAGATGGCAGAAATACTGTACTGTACGTGGAGAGACGCTTCGTGGTGCCACGGCAACTGAGACAGCCTGGAAATTTATAGTGCAGTTTTGCATATGAATTACCCAGCAAACTGCCACCCTGCCATCCAGTACAGCCCGAGTGTCAAAGCATTTAAACTATTCCAAACAGTCTGCAGGGCTGGCAGAGCTGCCTAACTCTTCTAGGGCGGAAGGGGGGTGACGATGATGGGGGAGGGAGGCCAGCAGGTCAGGGCAGGCAGGGCAGAAACTGGGTGAGGGAGGGGAGCCCAGAAGGGGAGAAAAAGGAAGGAGATGAGAAGATGAGGCAGAAGAAGGAGAGAGCAAGGGGCCAGGGAGGAAGAGGCCCAGAGACAGATAGGAGGGCAGAGGCCCGGCACCCCCACCCCAGTGCCCCCCTTCTCCACCCCCCTCCTTGGGGTTCTAGAGTAGCAGGCCCAACTAGTCCAGCCCCAACACCCCACTCCCAGTCTCCCAGGTGGTCACCCTGGCTTCCAACCCCTCGGCCGGGGCAGCTCTCTTAAAGAAGTATAACTTTGTGATAGTAACTGTTCCAACTGGGGCCAGGCAACCAGGGGCCCCTGATGCACCAGCCCCAGAGGTGGCAGCAGACGCTACTCCCCAGGCTAGCCGTGCTGCTGGGCTGCGCGTGCGGGGCCTGCAGTGTCCACCCTCTGCCGAGACTTTCCTGGGCAGGGGTGGCCAGTCCTGCTCCAGAGGACGCACCTCCTTCGAGGCTCAAGTCACGGCCCACTGGATTGCATGGGCCCTGGGGCAAATCACCGGCCTGCCCAGCCTCAGCTTCCCAGCCTGCCACCAACTGTGGCAGCTGCAAGAAGGGACAGGGATCAGACGAGATGGCCAAGTTCGGGTCTCCTGTAGTGTGAATTAGCCCTGACGCTGCAGCAGGGAGGAGGCCAGGGCGACAGGCAGCACCCCTCCCGCCAGCCCCTCCAAGGCATCCGGAGAGAAAGGAGGAGCCACCTGACACCTCCTCATCCACACACCACGGCCCAGCTTCCGAGACCAGATAGACGCCGCCGAACGGTGGACGGGAAGAGGTCCACGCGCAGAGAAGAGGCCGCACGCCTCCACGCGGGCTGATGGCAGCTCGCGGAGGGACGGCGAGCTAGGCCTGCGTTCAGAGCGTGAACATAAACGGTCCGGCCTGGTGCTCTGGGGACCCTGGGCCGTCAGGGCGAGGAGAGCAGGGCTCAGCCGGACCCCCTCCCGCTTGAGACCCACACTGGCAGCGCCGTCTCACCGCTAGCCGGGCATGGCGTCCTGGCTCGACCGCTGGGTGAAGGAGTGTGTCCAGACCTTAGGCCCCTCCTCATCTGTACCTGACAGATCGTCCAGTGCAGTCGAGCCCAGAGCGGAGGCTGGGTGAGCGGGCCCTACCCCGTCGCACTCCCAGGCCACAGGGCCTTGTCCTCATCGCCCCTGGGAAGCTGTGCAGGGCCACAGGCAGCTTGGCCAGAAGGGGCTGTGTGGTCCTGGTGGTCTCTCTTTCCTGGGGCCTAGGAGAAGCCAACTGGCCCCCAGATGAGGGGGCTGGGGCCTTGGGGTGGGGGTTTCAGGCACAGCCCCACCTGCCTACCCAGCCACAAAGGGGAGCAGACTGGGCACAGGCAAAGCTGACGTGCAGAATCGGAGGGACACTCAGAGCCAAAGGACAGCAGGACCCATGATGGGTAGGGAAGGGCAGGAGCCAACCGCCGCCTGGGAGCAGGACTCAGACCCCAAGGAACCCAGGACACAGCCCTCCCCTGCCCACGACATGAGCTGCCCCCTCCTCTGTGCCGCACCCTGGCCCTCCCCGGAACGGAGCTGCCTGCTTCACTGCCACTTCCTCAGGGAAGCCCACCACCCAGGTGTTATTCATGAGCTTATGGGCTGCCTGATGCCTGGTGGGCATTTAACCCGATGCTGGGCTCGGCTGGGGAGGGCCGCAAGAGAGGCGCTGTGCTGCCCAGAAACACGCACAGCAGAGCAGGGAGGGCCCTCCCAATGGCCCCCTCCCCAGACCCACAGCCCCCACCACCAGGAGCCTCCCAGAGAGAGGTGGGGGTCTCCTGAGCCAAATGGGGGCTCTTGTGCCGCAAGAGGGGTGACCCAGCCTGCCTGGGGTGGGCAGAGGCACACAAAGAGGGTCCCCATTGCCCTGGGCTGGGCAGGGAGTGGGCAGGTTCTGACCGAGATTGGGGGACAGCGCAAGGCCTGCAGAGCTGCCCTTCCAAGGGCGCATCCTGGGTTCCACTGGGCGGGTCCTACAAAGGACTCTATGTCTGGGACTCGCGTATCAATGGGGGTCGGGTTTACCCTCCAATGGGGACAGCAAGGGTCCGGGGAGACAGTGTCAGGAAAGAGCCCGGCTGGAGCCTGGTACATGCTACACCTGTAAGCTGCACCTCGGTGACGCTGCCTGCTGTGACCTGAGTGGGAGGGTAGTGGTCCAGGTGGGCATCTCCATCGGGCCCCAGCCCACCTACGCCCCCATCTGCACTTTAGGGACCTGTGCCCCTGGGATGGGGCCCAACCACTCGCCCAGAGAGGGGACTAACCTCCTCCCCTTGGCAGGTGACGAGGCCGTCTGGTCCCCAGGGATGGGGACAACCAGCCCTGTTGTTGCTGTGTCCTCAAGCCACCTGTGCGGGTGAGCCTGCCGCCCCATGGCCCAGCCTGGGAGAGCCCAGCGCTAGCTGGTTTCAGGTTGCTTTCTTAGAAGCCTAGGCTGGAGCAAGAACAAAGCTGAACTTTAGAAGAAAAGAAAAAAAAAGGTTTGGTTTACACACCCAGGGCCATGAAAGCAGGCCCAGCCAAGGGCTGACCCTTGGGCAGAGGCCCGAGAGGAGAGGGGCCAGGGGCCTGCGGGGACCACAGGGGCGGCCTCCTCGCCCTTCCCTGCCCAGCCCCACACCACCACCTCCTCCTTCTGTGTCTCAGTTTCCCCAGCCCCTGCTACCCAAGCAACACCACCTGCTCTGTCTCCTACACAGCAAGATTTGCATGCCTGTCCACTTCCGGAAGGT